ACACAATGACGCTCATTCACATGGTTTCATTGAATTGGTGTTATGATATATGACTTAAGGATTCGTGTTGTTTGTAATAGGAATTTAGTCTTTATTTTATGAGCTTAAAAAATTCATTAAATATACAAGTGGTTAGTAATAAGAATTAATTAATAATAGGATTTGTTTAACGTAATCATTAAACCAGGAATGTCTGGTTGGCTGAGGGGTCACATTTTTCATTCATTAGTTAGGGGAAACGACGGCACATTTTGTGTACAAGGTTTCGGAACGTCACATATGATATATGATTATCGAAAAATACCAGCACTCTCCACCTGTGAACCAACCTTGACAAAATCCGATGACAACTTTGTCACGTGGTGTTGTGTTCTCAGTAATTCGCCGATGTGTGAGAATGAGGTGGGTTTTATGATGTTTGACGCTCAGTTCAAGTTGCTTAATTAAGATTGATTGGTGATATGATAATCTATTTATGATCTTAACGATGAGTGAATATACATCGGAGAGTCTCTTGAATGTCAGTGAACTAAAACTTTACTGTGTTAAAGTTGATGTTCATGTTCCCACGCAGAGTTATAGGTTACACTCTACAATTATAATTTGTATTCCCTCTGCTTTGCAAGAAAAGCAGTGTTGATATAATACCGGAATAAGCAAGCTGTGATTTGAACTTTATTAGCGAAAACTAATTCTTTTCAAAACTTGGTCATTGTCGGAGGGATCCGATTTTTGAAATGTGCAAAATAGTGTTCAAAGATAAAACAGGTATTTTATGTTGGTTTGCTTATATATGTAAAGTAATAATTTGGCTAGTGCTAAGACAGATAAGTTAAAGTACTTTAAAACTTGCTATTGATGTAGTCGGAAACGCCATGTCGTTTTTTAAAAATGTTTACTTACATGTGGAAAGAGTGCCCAAATAAAGTTTTACGTAAAATCAGTACACAATTATTGCAATTCTGTAATTTGAATTGTATATAATCGTATTTTATTTTTGTTATTTGCTTGGTCACGCATCTATCTGGCTAGCGCGCTGAGTGCAAAGTTAATCAAACAATTTTAAAATTTCGGGAATATATCTGATTATCCCGTGCACCCATCGCAACACGTCCTAGTATTTGCAATGCAGTCGACTTAGCAGAGAGTGACAATTACTTCATGATTAGAGCATTATCCCGAATGTGAACAGGTGATGTGTGTGGAACGGTTATATATATAAGTGTTTCTATCATAGTTTTATAGCGGGTAGCGGCAGAGGGTATTTACGCAATGTAATTCATGGTTCATGCGATAAACACCATGACGAGGTGTTTTGGTGTACCCAGACCCGCATCAACCATTTAAGATAAATTATATCATTAATTACTCTTTCTACTTTGTGGAGACATCGTTCGAGTTGTTATTCATCATATTGGCATTAAAGCGCCACAGCCACCGTGGAACAAGCGTTCGAATTCCATGACAGTATCTTACACGAGTCTGCAAGTAATGACTCAAGTAAGACAAAAAAAGGCCATAAATAAACCAAAATTTCAATAAAAGTATATAAAAAATGGAGCCTACCTACATCGGATTTTAATCAGATTGGGCCGAGAGCAA